ATATATATATATATATATATATATATAATTATAATTATATATAAATATGTGTGTTCTTAAAAAATATATAATGAAATTACATTTTGTGGACTGAATTGTCAAAACAGTAAATTCAATATGATATGAATAATATATATTTTGTGATAATTTTACATTTGTTGCAGAATGTTGTCTGCTGTACATTTTGTTCATTTCTTTTTTGACATTTTGCATTATTTCATGGGCCTAATTTCTTATTTTTAAATCAATCCCGATTCTATTTTTGAAAAATAAGAATTATTGATGTGTTAGGGCTGGGTCCGATGCTCATTAAAGTTGTATCTAAACTAAAACTCGCAGCCTTTAAAATGGAAGATTTGTGACTGTGACCAAGTGGCACTCGCCATAACAGCATAATAACAAATACATATTCAAACGGTTTTTAATCTGGTTCTCACGCCTTTAAGACCTTGTTGTAACTCGTAAGCGAAAAGCGATGCTGCTGATGCAGGTACACCGTGTGAGAACAATAAAGGGGCGGTACTTTTAACTCTTTTTATTCCCTCCCCACTGGGCTCCTTAACTTCCCAAGATAACCTTCTCATTTGCCTTTTACCGTTGTTTCCTTCCTTGAAAAATGTCCTTTTTGGAAGCAAGATAACCAACCTGAGCGCACGTGCTACCTGCCTTCTTCTAATCCAATCTGATGTTCGACAATTGACGCTCCGCGCCCTGAGAGCACCGCGCCTGCAGTTCAATGACACCTCTACCTGGTCAATCCGACAGAAGCAACGTTTCTTTTCTTTCCGGATCGCTGCAATATAATTAAAACATGTATCGGTAATTATTTAACCTGCACGATCTGCTGAACGAGGACTAGGAGGATGGATTAAAGGAGGAGAAAAGCGAACATGAAAGGTAAGAAAGTCCAGCACTTATATTGTCCGATAGACTTTACAACAAGTTAAACAGCACGCTTTCCTCCATGACATGTATCCATCCTCCACGTTGTTTATAGCATGCCTATAACATGCAGCAGCTGCTAAATTTGTAAGCCGCCGCTGTCAGGTTTGCCCGTGTGTGTGTGTGAGTATTTTCCCTCTCTCGCTCCTCTCTCTCTCCTCTCTCTCTCTCCTCTCTCCTCTCTCTCTCTCCTCTCTCCTCTCTCTCTCTCTCTACAAGATCACCACGGCTCTCAGAGCATCACTGTCCAAATATCCCGTCAGCCGCGCACATCGCCCCTGACTTTCTCTGGGATACGGTGGTACCACATCACTGCATTCCCACACTGCTTTTTTTTTTTTTTAATCACACACCAGCTGCTGCTGCTGCTGCTCTGTAAACATCTCGTATTTATTTAAGTCCTATTATTTAACCTCAGTCGGGTCGATGTATATAGACGCGTTCAAACGGATCCTCTTTGAAAGGCTGAACTGCTTGAAAAGAATGTGTGTGTGTCAGCGCCAAGGCAGGTCAGTATTTCCCCTATTTATGAGAAATATGAGAATCTGTTGTGTGTAATCCAAGTGTGTGTGTGTGCGTGAGAGAGAGAGAGAGAGAGAGAGAGAGAGAGAGAGCTAGAGGGTGTGGGTGAAAGAGTGTGTGCATGTAAACTATAGTCAGTGTGTGTGAAAGAACAATGTGGGTTTGTGATGATGGTGGCAGATAAGAATCCTTTTGACATTAACTTTACCTCCTTTAACAGCAGGTGTGTGTGTGTGTGTGTGTGTGTGTGTGTGTGTGTGTGTGTGTGTGTGTGTGTGTGTGTGTGTGTGTGTGACATGATTACATTTTGAAAAGTTTGTTGAGGCGTTTTTTTTGTAAATGTTTGTTTGTTTTTACTTTTTCAATCTCGCGCTCCAGAAATTGTCTTAATCACATGCAAACACAAGCCCATGTTCATTGCACCTGTGCCCATTTTGCCTTGAGAAATAGACCGACTTGCGAAATGTACTTTGTAGTTCACGGCCAGGTGTGTGTGCAAGCATGTGTGTAGTGTGCCTTGCAGCTGTTCATGTGCGTGTATGTGTGTTGTTGCTGTTCATTTAGGGTGTGTCCCTGCTCGATACAGGGTGCTTGTTTTGGAGTGATGGATGTTTGACCCTGACTCAATAGTGTGCATTTGCTCTGGATTTGGAGAGCAGTCAAGGTTATACTCTTGTAATGAATCATTAATTTGTTGGAAGGCAAGGAGAGACGTGTGCTGTTCGACTGTCCATGCTCTCGTGCCGCTCTGGTCCTCACACTGCTTACTTTCCCTCAGCACAGCACTGTAACTCAGCAGAGGCTTGTGGTTCTATTCTGCGTTTCTCCTTCTTTGATTCTAGTTCTCAGCCCAAGTTTGAACCACCAGTAAGTGCAAACGCATGTCGACGAACATGTCGAAGGAGGAACACGACTCCGCTCTCAGGATGAAACGAGGTGCATTTGTCCTCCTGTCGTAGTAATGCACGTCACCTGGGAGTTGTTGATTGTCTAATTATGTACCTCCTGTGTCCTTCGGCATCATGCATATTAATGCTGCTGTCTTAAGGTGTGGTAAAAACAAAGTGTCCATTTGTGTGTGTGTGCATGCAAGGCAGTTTACCCTTGACAGGGCAGGGCTATGCAGGCATATTCTCCCATCTGTGGTCCAAACCTTTGCTCCCAGCCACTGCATTTAGATTCCGCAGTTGTAGCCTGCACTATTCTTAGTCCTCAACAGTTCATGTGCCGTCTGATGTGAAATTTCAACAACATTCCCATGCTTGCCCGTGTCCCTGCCTCGATACATCGAGATTCAATTTGGATTGGATAAGATGCTTTTTAAGTGGTTAGACTCGGACTTAGGTGGCAAATCAATAACTAATCAATGACAGTTTGTGGAGTTACAGTATACACAGTGCCATATTTGAAATGTCAAGACGGCAATGAATCCATGTATCCTTGAGTCAGATCGGAGTTGGACAACACTGGAATCAATATCAGGTGGTGAGACAGGCAGCAGGAGCAGGTGAGGGTCACCTTCACCCATCCCTACTGAATCAGCACTATCTTACACACACGCACGCACACACACACACACACACACACACACACACACACACTTACTTGAAAGGCCTGCTTAGGTTACCAAACTGCGACCTCACAAAAATGCTCATTATAGTGAACTGAACTTCCCCTCCACTTCCTCATGAATACTTCATTTTGTCATTATGATTTCAGCCAGTCTTTCATAAGGTTACAGCACCCACCTCTGTGTTGATTCTTCTGTTTTATTCCATTTTCCTTCAAAGCCGCCACGAACCCCCCCCCCCCTGCCGCTTTCCCCATTTCTTACTCACTTATCCATCATCATTGTTGAAAAGCTGATTTGCTCTGTTTAATTAAACCGCTCTCTCCCTCCCTGATAGGAGCCAGCATCTCATCTCTGATCTGTAATGCATCCTGGCAGATTGAGTGAGAGGACCTGTTGTCATTCAGTGGTGTTCCTCAAGAAGAGCAGTGTGTACACAACATGCCCCGCTAACGTGCCCCCTGCCTTAACCTTGATCCTGCGACGATATAAGATACCGTTTGCCCAAAGGGAACACCACCGAGCCTGTTTTATCCTGCCAAGTGTGTGTGTGTGTGTGTGTGTGTGTGTGTTTGTGTGTCACTCCAATGCTCATGTATGTTTCAATCTTACGCTAAGTCCCTTTGTATGTAGTCAACACAAGAGCAGCTTTAACAAAATCACACACTGGAGTAGATTGTGGGTTTATTGATGGCGTGCAGAGAACAAGGCATGTCCTTTCCATTCCATGTATTCTTATCAGCTTTCTCATGTATTGAGTTTAAATTGAGAGAGAGTTTCTGCGAGCGTCTACGCCACCGTGTACGACACACGGAGATATTTTGTGTTTTTGTTTTTTTTGTGTTTTTTTTCAACCCACAAGCATTTAATCTTTTATTTTTAAATCTGCCACTGCTGTCTGTTTTGTGTTGAGCACTCCCGTGCCCTAGATTTGGAAGTGAGTGAGCATCAGGGCGAAGCTTTAGTGCACCCCACGTTGCTCGCACAGTTCGGTGTAAATGTTCGGCGGGAGAGGTCAGGGCACTGAAGTCAGATAAGACGGCGAAATCGGAGCAGTGAGAACGCTCATTTCCGTATGCCTGCTCCTCCACCAGTCTTAGTTATTTAAGAAGATATTCATGATTAGGAGCAGTGCGCTTCACAGGTTGGAGTGAAGAGATGAGCTTATGTGTTTGATATGTTGGATGGGTTCAAGTTAAGGGTTGGGTTTTGGGTTTTCCTCACCTCCCCTTGGCACAAAATACCTGCTTTGCAGCTCGAGGGCTAACTCAGACATTCCGAGATTTTCATTATGCCATTTTTGATATCATTGGTGGAAATGCGTGAAAATTTTATGATGTTAAGATTGGATTTAAAATTAATCAGCAACCATTCTGATAATTAATTAATCATTTCAGTCATTTTTTAAACAGAAATGTTTCACTTTCACTGGTTCCAGCTCCTCAGTTTGGAGGATTTGCTGGTTTTCTTTGTCTTTTGTGACAGAAAACTAGACGTCACCTACGTATATGGCTTTAAAAATTGTTAGTGGACATTTTTCACAATCTCAAATTTTTTAGATGAATGGATTCTTTTTTTAAATAAACAAATGAATCAGTAGTGAAAGCAGCCCTAGTATAATGCTTTCCCATTAAATAATGTTTCTGCAACTAATTATTACTCAATTATCGATTCTTTTTCAATTAATCGATTCGTCGTTAAGTTGAAAATAATCAATATCAATATACAATGATATTAAGAAGGAAGATTAGCAAAACATATTTATTAATTTTCCTTGTTGAATGATTCAAATGATTACTTGATTATCAAAATCTTCGGTTATTTGTGGATCAATGAATCAGCAAATAACAAAATCACTGTTCGTGTTTTAAGCTATCATTCACACTGACCCCTGTGTACTGAGGATTGCTCTCTTAAAGTTTACCTTTACTTATGTAGTAACAGTGCATGAGGTCACTTTATTAAGTAACCACCAGTCATACTGACTTTTGTCTGGCTTATACAGACTGAGAAAGAACCTTGAGTCTCTGCACTTGCAGAGAGACCAACAAATGTAGCCATTAGGCATGCTGGTCTCATCCTGACTGACAAAACACACAGTCGGTCCATCAATATTCTCTAAAATTCACATTTAGGAAAGACAACTATTCGCTGTCCTGAACTTTGAGTGAGCATGCAAAAAATACCAAATAAGCTGACATAAAATCAGAGAGCGTTCTAGCTGAGCCAATTCAACCGGCTAATTTCATTACTGTAGACCTCATTCAGAGCGGAAAGCGATTGCAGACAAGAGAGGGAACAATGGCTCCACCAAGTCAAACCAACAGAAGCTTTTATGAGCGTAGACTGTCTCCGCTGCTCATGTAGTGCAGAGAAGCTGTTCAGTGACATGAACACTAACAGTTCAGACTAAAGAGCCGAATTAGAGCAGAATCTCACGGCAAAAGCTGATTGTGTGAAAGTTTCCCATCTTTGCAGAAGTTTCACAAACTCCGCTGCGGTCAAAGCCGATTATGTCAGAGAGCGAGCTACCAGCTGAGAGACGGCTTTGATTGGGATGAGGGCCGGCATCTAGATAGACATCAGGAACATGGGGAGAATCACGAGAGCTGACAGTCACTGCTTTCCCCACAAAGCCTCACTGATGCCACTGATGCGGGCGGATGTTAGAATAGGTGTTGAGCTGCAGGAATGATGGTGAAAGTCGTGCAGTTGTGTTAAAATACGGTTTGAAAAGGAAGTGTGTGCACGTCTGACTTCACCCTGCTGGATAAATCTGTCGAGACAAGTTTTTGTTGTTTTCTTCTTCTTCACTTTGACAGAGCTACTTTCTACCGAGCAATTCAATTATTCACTCGTCTTAATTGATGTGTTTTGCCCATGCCCCTTTTTTTCCTGAAGGTCTTCCGAGACGCTCTCTACTCCAATGTCAAATGCTATTCCCTCATGTCCTTGATTCGTTGCTCCAAGTTGACTTTGAATTATTGAGCTCCACAGCAAAGCTCATCTGTGTAACCTTAATAAATTAAAACCCTCGAGATCTGACCTGAAGTAACAGCTTACTTAGTCCGTCCTGTATGAAGAAGATGTTTCGCTCATGACTATGAGCTGCTCGGGGTATTTTGTTCGGGGTAATTTTAGCATTATCACTGCTGCGCCTTTAGGTACTATTACAGTGCAACAATTGGGATGTTGAGTTTGTTGAGATGAAGCTTAAAGTACAGTTTGTCTTTTCGAGGAAAATGTAATTGTTGCGGTTAATTAACTACAAACAATGAATGTTCTCTGGATGCCACTAGCGAGTATTTATATAATTCAGGGCTAAAAGGCACATTTCAAACAGAAAAACACCGTGTGGGGCAGCTGTTTATACTACACACTGATTCATTATAGCCTTCAGCATTTGCTTTATGCCTTCTGATTCAAACAAATATTGCAAGTAAATTAATAAAAACAACTCCCAAGAATAGCCTCGAAGTCAAGAGGATGTGTGTTTTGCCACTGACAGATTGCTGTGGTTTGAAATTACACTGGAAGGCCGGGGTTGCAGGCTGTAGAAATCCTGAGCAGGTCGCTGCTGAAGAAGAAGTCAGTGAAACAAGATATGTGTTGGTCAGCTCTTTCCTGACCTAAAGGTCAGAAATCTCAATAGAGCATTCTTTTTATAGGGCTAGATATCCTTGAAACCATGTCCTCCATATCTAATATGTTGTTGGCTGTATATAATTCATCTGGAGTAATGCATATGCTGTTTTTAGCCACACTCGTGACCCGGCCCTTGGGATTGCAATAACGACCGGTCCACCACTTTGAGAGTGAAATATCTCAAATTATCTGCAGACATTCATGGTTCCCAGATGATGAATCCTACTCTTTCATGATCCCCTGGCTTTTCCTCTAGGGCCACCATAAGGTTGACATGTTTGTAGTGAAATATCTTAACAACTATTGGATGACATTTGTGTTACATTTGTTCTCCTCGGGATAAATGGTAATAACTTTGGTGATCCTCTGACTTTTCATCTAGTGCTTTTCATTAATTTGCGTAACAACAAATACCTGCAAATATATCTATCCCATTAGCTTATTATTGCTAATTAAGAAGATATTAGAAAATATACTTTATTAATCCCCATTCTGTTTAGCAAATGTGAGCCTGCTAACACGCTAAACTAATATGGTGAACTTGGTGAACATTATAGCTGCTAAACATCACCACGTTAGCATTGTGGCTTTGTTCAAATTGAAACACTGTGAGTGACTGAAGGTCATCATTGTACTGTGCAGAAGTGCAGTATGACAGCTTTCTTTGTTCTTAAAGCAAATCACAGGGCAACATTACATTCAAATTGCATTCTTTGCAAATCAATGTCACAGAATTACGCCACTCTCTCATCTGTTAAGATCACTTTGTGACAAACGGTGCATTCCTCCCCAGACTCGATGGCAACCTAGCAGTGTGTTTTAAGTGCACACAGTAAGATGAGCGTGCAGTGGCCCGTTTGTAGCATCAACACCAACATCAGAGTGGAGCAGTGTCAGAGCAGCGTCAGGGTGTGTCTGCGGAGGGACGAGTCCAGGCTTCAGCGGACATGACAGGCTGGGGCTCATTAAACCCCCATCAGACGCAGGGGGTAAAGACAACAGCTACAGCTCGGGCAACACACTGTGTCCATACACTGTGTCCATAGACACACATTGTGACTGTGTAGGCCCAACAGGACCGGGTAATCCTCCAGACCTATCAGTTGTTGTATTCTAAGCGTTTCAATCATTGCTGAGAAATCTTTAGATAAAGCATGAAGAGACTAACGGCTTATAGAATGATTGTTCAGGATTGATGCGCATGGAGAATCGTTGCATATGATTAGATGGAAAAAGTCGATGCCTTTGTTTTTATTCTCTTCTCACGACATACTAAATGCAAGCATTATTTCTGTGTTGTCTGTGTGGGTGGATGGCTGGCCGGCTTTGGGGCTGCAGGTCGACAGTGTAGCCGCAGAAGGTTTCACAGTGGGGTAGAGAGAGAGGGACTGGGGGCAGGTTTTTTGGCAAGGATGAAGTGATAAGCATAATTTCTGGTTGAAACATGGCGGCGTAAACTGCACTACTTGTTTAATCGTGTTTTGTTCAAATGTGCTACAACAACAGTGACAGGCTTTGAAACAAGACTGAAATGCAAGTTGTGCGTTTTGCGGTTCTCGATGAACCAGCTCAACCGTTTCCTAAAATCTGACTGCTTCAGCTCAGGACTTCGCCTGAGCTGAAGTCCTGCAAGGTCAAACAAGTGAGTCCGATGTCAACCTCAGGCGGTGTGGTGCCTCACGATCCCTGTCTGACCTCTGTGCTCTGGGCAAAAAAAACAGCACATACAAGCCATCTAAGTTACATATTTCATTCTCGCCCTATTTCTGCTTTTTCTCTTCTAATCTCTCTCTACTCCCTGCCTTCCCCTCCCCCTTTTGTCCGTCTCTGTATATAAAAAGCCACCGGGGAGCCCCTTCTTTTAGTCCAGCAGTAGGAGAGAGGCTGGACGAAGAGGATCCCTGTCAGATCTGCCAGTTGAATGACCAGTCAAGTGTAAAAAGGATTATTATTATATCCTGTCCGTCTCTCACTCTTCAAAGCAGTCTCATTAAGCCTGCTGGACCAAAGGACCCAGGGTGCCCCTGCTAAGGCTGGGCTCGGTGTTGCACTCAGGGAAGCCTTGGGCGTTTTATCCCCGCCCTGCCGTGGGTCGTCATAGTCACACAGTTGTTAAGAGGATTGGATCTTGGTGAAGTGATGTGTAATTGCTAATCTCCTGACCACGATGGAACTGGAGATCAGGATTGTCCATGAGGAATATTGCTTTCAAGCAAGTTTGTATCAGTGTAGGTGTAAGTTCAAAGGAATAGTTTGACATTCGGGAAAATACGATTTGTTTTGCATTCTTAACCAGATTTAGATGAGAAGATCAATACCGCTTTCGTACCTGATCTTTGGATGTAAAGATACAGCCAGGAGATGGTTCACTTAGCTGAGCATAAAGAGAGAAGGCAGGAGTGAAACACACAGCCTGGCAAAATCCACCTACCAGCAAGCTCACTGATACACATTAAATATCTTGTTTTTGATCCCATAGATTTGTTCTCTCTGGTCAACAGATTTGATGTAGACGCTGTCTCTAAATTACCTCAGATCTATTTTGACATTTCTTCACTTCAGTTGCTTGTTATATATATGGACCAACATATAAACCATTACAGTATATCTGCAATAAGCTTATATCGGGTGATATATTGGCCTGGCCAATTTATCGGTGTAGCGTCCTGGACATAACTCCTTGTTTTCAGTCTTTATGCTAAGCTAAGCTAACGGTCCCCATGGTTCCAGCTTCACATTTAACGGACAGGCATGAGAGTGGCATCAATCTTCTCATCTAACTCCTGGCAAGAAAGCTAATTATCATATATCCCAAAATGTCAAACTATACATTTGTTGTTTACATGCCATGTTTGTCTTTTGGATTCTGTTACCCCACCTCTGTTGTCCTGTGTGTGTCAAGGTGACACACACAGGACGTCAGAGGAACGTTGTCCGCTCTCTCCGGACATCACAGCTGTCAAACAAATCTTCACCATGTCAGCTACATCCTCAGCCCCACACACACAAACACACAGCTGCTCCCCAGGAAACATGTTGCCGCAAAACGCATTGAGCAAACAATGGAAGAATCTGTCCTGAAGAATACCAACAGGGTAATTATTCACTGTCCAGAAAAATCTATAACGATCTATATTTGTTTGAAAGCATCATGCATCACATACAGAAAGTACTGCAGTGTCACTGCAGCTACAGGTGCTGAGCTCACCTGTCGAAACATTTGTGCATTCAATCAACGACCCGTACCTTTATCGAATGAGCACTATCGAATGAGCACTAACTCCTATGTTGTGTGTTTACCTGGAAACATAACATCAGCCTGCCCTGCAGCAAGTGCAATCAACATCAAGGATGGCTATCTGTTCTTTGTGGGTGGATAGTCTTGCACTGTGCTGTGGTGTGTTTGCATAAAACAAAGGCACAGTTCCCATGTGTTGTGTTGTTCCTGACTTCCAGGCTGCCATGCTCTCAGTGACAAAACATCCTCACCCATTTGGCTGGGAATTATTCATGACCTTTGCTAAATCTGAACACGACTCCCCAGACCTCAGACATCGACAACTGAAAAAGGTTAAACAGCAAAACAACCTTCTGCCTGAAGTCACAGGATATTTCCCGAGATTTTTTTGTAACTGACACTTTTGTGCTGTCTCACACCTTCTGCTCACCCTTCGATCCTGTTTTGCTTTCCTCTCCAGCTCCTTTGCCATGTCTAAGACAGCGGTGAAGAAGCTGCACTGGCGTTCCAGGGTGCAGGACAGCTTCGTCCCCTTGCTGGACTCGTCGGGGGAGCTGGGTATCGCCATTGGCGGAGGAGCAGACTATGGAGAGTTTCCTTTTGTCACGTCGGCTCCAGGAGGTGGAATCACAGTGGGGGATGTCATCCTAGAGATTGGGGGAACACCGGTATTGGGAATGACATTAGGAGATGTCCGTGGTGTCCTCAACTCCTGCCCTCATCCAATCCGCATCAAAACTGTGTCACCAGGTATGACTCAGCATTAGTCTGTAGCTCATTGTTTTGTTGGACGTGTAAATAATCAGCACACAGTCAAGAAGAGGTGTGAACATAACAGACTGCATGGCCTCTCCTTCTGCTAAGGGCATTTATGTATTACACATCGCCCATAATAATGCCTTAAATCTTCTCTCCCTAACACTGCAGACATTCTAACTTGTTGCTGTTTATGTTTCGCACCATTGCTCTTATACATTCATCGGACTACACCCAAACAATCTGGTGCACTGGAGACCAAGCTGTCAGCCATAATAATGTTACCCGATGACCCTCAGCTGACTCTCACAAGCCCAATCTGCAGCCTGTAGCATTCTGATACCGATTTGCACTCGTCAATTAGTCTGGATATGTCAAGGCGATCGGTCAATATGTGGGAAGGAGGTCAAAATTGCCGATGACACATGACAAGAGTGTGGCGATAAAGTTGTCTGTCACCCCGCAGGAGGCCTTGATGTTTAGAACAGGAGGCCGGGGGAACGGATGTCTTTGTTGACTGTGAACAGAGCAATATGTCTCCCGAGTGTCACCTGACCGCCGCTCCCGATGGCCTTGCTTGCCAGATTGATAGCTGATTTGGCCGCCGGGTGTAGATGGGGACCGTTGCTCCTGGTTCCTCTGCTGCTGGTAGATCCATTATCATTTCTGAAGTCGGCCCGGCCCTCGCTGGGCAGCTCGACTGCGTGTAGTGTGGACAGTGATGGATGAGCTGATGCGCCGTGTTGCTGTACCACACCTCCTCCTACCTCCACTACAACTTCCTCTGAAATACAGGACACCAGGCTGCATTCCCCAGAGGCAGGCAGCAGTTTAAAGGTTTTAACGCTAATACTGGCGCTCTGTGGACAAAAGCAAAGACTAGTAATACCATCTGTCCATCAAATTTAAAGTTTCCATCTGTGGTTTCAGCATTGCCCTATAGCTCTTCTTTGTATTCTTTTAACCTTGACACCTCACTACCTTGCTTTAATGGTAGCCCATATGTGAGAGCTGATGATGAGATCTGAATTATGCTCTTCAACATTCTTCAACAGCAGCTGTTTTATAACATAATGAACAAAAGGCCATCATTTCCCCTAAAAGGCAGCTGGCTAGGTTCAGTCCTATGTACATGCAGATGACTGCCTCCGGTAATAAAGTTCTACCGCTGTGACGGTTTTTAATAGCACACAATTCAATCTGCCTCTGGGCAGAGCCGCTGTAACAGACGGTGGGGGTAGGGGGGTGACGGGCGTGTGGATAGCTGGGCAGCAGCCTGGAAGGGAAGCACCGACAGAGTGGTCGTCTGTCAAGCTAGAGTTGCTCTCAGCCAATCCATAACAGCAAGTGACCTGTCATCAGAGGCCGTAAAGCACTTGAGATGATATTGAGAGATCAGATAGAGGAAGCTTAGCCGCCATGAGGGGCTCTGCCTGACGTGGTGACAGCCTCAACTGTTGTGTCTGCAGCAATTAACCCACAGGTTGTTACATATGCATGAGGGAGTCGGGAAAACACATTTCATACTCAGGATCTGTGAGGTGATATCAGATCAGTAGGTGTGAATGTGAAAGCCTAGGTTGTAAAATGCTCGTGTTAAATCAAGCCTGGCAGCAGTAAAGATTTAAATAAACTTCAGTCTCTATTTTACGGTCTACAAACAAATCTGAGAGTGAATATACAGCATCAGAGTGCTTGTGCTTACTGAGCTGATTTCTTAATTTCTCTCTCTCTCTCTCTCTCTCTCTCTCTCTCTGCTTCAACCTCTCCCTGCCACACTTGTATCTTTGCCCTTCCCTCAGGCTCCACATTGTGCAAGGATCTCAGGTTGTATCTGAGCAAATGTTTCACGCCCAGCTCGCTGGACAGCCAACTTCAGCAGGTCATCCGAGAGAACCTCTACCTCCGCGCTGTACCTTGTGAGTCCCATTTTGTGCTTTTCTTCCGGCCTTCAATACACTGTTTCTCTCCATAAACCTTGTCTTTATATTTTGTGTCTAAGTACGTCCTTTAAGTCACCTGTGCAGATTTTTGTGCTGGTGCCCATATACTGTATGTTTCAGGTTTAAGACAAATATCAAGTACATTTTCACAATGCTCATGATATTAATCCACTCAGGCATATCGCTCTTAAAGGGTACCTTTGGTATTTTTCAACATGGACCTTATTTTCCCATGTCTCAGTGTGTCAAAGGGACTAATGGGGACAACAATCTTTGAAATTGGTCCAGCTTCAGACAGCAGCCACTAAACAGGCTGCAATGTTATCGCTCGCAGCAACTCCTCACCGTCAATTTATGTCCACTAAAAGTGCTGTTTTTTGACTGATAAAACGTCTTTCTTACCTTTTGCTTTCTGTTTGTTATTGTGTCAGTTTGTTGTGTTGGAGAGCAGAAACAATAGCTTGGTATTATCTAAAAGATTTTCAATGTCATGGCTCAATATTTTGCTAATTTTGACAATGTTTATGTGACGCAAGATTTCAGAACGAGACTTCTCAGAGTGAAACATAATAACAAACAGATCAGATCAAGCAAAAAAGTAAATAAAAAATTTGTAAGATCCTTTCCATAATTTTGTCCGACACTTATTTTTTAATTACAATCTGAGCCCGTCAGTGACAAAAAAAACAGCACTATTAGTAGCGTAGTATTAGTTTTCCTCAATACTGGATCAATTTTTTTTTAAAGTCACTCTCAAAAACTTGATAGGGTCCAGGTTAAAAAATACTGAAGTTACTCTTTAAGTTACGGTCCTCATTAATTCTTTGATAACACATCTTGTTGTTGCCGCCATGTGAATAATTTGGTGTTAATTGGCTCCTAAGCCCACAGAACTGTTTCCCACACTTCCTTGTGTTACTGTATGCAACCAGAACTGAAGATGAAATAATGAGAAAAAACATTGACACATTATAGCGGCCTGGTTATACGACTAAAGTGAGACAGAACATGTACCGTATGTGCAATCTGTTTGGACATTTCCATAGCAACACTCTGTATTGTTGCTGGGTTTATCCTCATTGGCAGTCTCCACCTTACAATCCCCACCCCTGTGCTCCAGGCTATTCCTTTGTTTGGGTGGTGGTATTAAATGTGGTTATTCTGTTTGACAGGTTCTTTTTTTATCAGTGCAGCTTTTGTATCATCCCCTGAAAAAGAGGCCCATAGTCTACACAAGTAGATGCTTATGCATCAAGCACAATGGCAGCCAAAGGCAGCTAGTTGTAGTACATCTGTTGCTATCTTAATCCTCTATAGTATGACGTCACTGGAGAGGGCAAGAGGATATAGCAGCCGTGCAGGGTTTTTCTCAGAAAGATCTGTGCCTGTGATGTAATTTTCTGACTTGCGTTGTTCTGTTTTTTTTTTTTTTTTTGTTCTGTTCAGGTGGTAGTACGGAGGAGACAGACCACCTAGTGTGTCCGCAGTCTTAACCTTGTGTGGCAGGGTGGAGTTGTCGCTAATCTCTCCTTTAGTCCAGGAAGTAGGTCATGTGGGGCAGTCTGCCACCACAACACACAACGCACTGGCTGACAGAACAAGGCCCAGGTCAAAACTCCCATGATGGTGCAGAGAAAGATAAAACTGTCTCTCTTCATGTACAGCATGCATATTCGCACTATGGTAAAATTGCAGCTTTATTCATATGAAGCTTTCTCATTACTTAGCCCTGCATGCGTGCATCTACAAGCAGCTGCTCAGGGAGTGAATTGGCCAAATAAATATCAGAGCTTTTAGCCGTTTCAGAATAAGAATAAAGAGGATTGGCATATACCAATTTAGAAAAATCAGTAAGTCGATGTTTGGTGTATATACACTGTATTTATTGGCACAATGCTGTAATATACTACATTAAGCAGGCCAGCCTTCCCCTGCCGGTGGTGTCAAACTTTGGGAACAACTTCCCGTCTTTGAGTTCTGTCTTTTAGTGAGAGTGACAACAAGGCAGGCTCAGCCCTCCGGGTGTGTAATCCTCTGATCTGCTGGAGATGTCACAGTAAGATGCCGTTGTTCTCGTGCCGATACCAACGCACGCACTCTAGCTTGATCCCGAGACAGCTTGGAAACCTTTGCTTCTCATTCTCAGACCACTCGTAGATATAGAGGAGCATATTTTTATTTTTGTCGTTTTGTTGTTTTTACGTCGAGGAGGCAGCTATGCTTGATACGGAGGAGTTTTCATCAGTGGCTCATTGTGGCCCCCTTCAGGATCATATGTATGTTCCTCCTGTCTCAGGAGACTCTTTGCTGTAGTTTGTTATTTTGTCGATTAATCAAATCTAAATTACCTGAGATAAGGATTAATCAGCCTCAATGGCTCACGAAGCTTAAGTCTTTGATTGTTATATGACTGTTTAAGGAAGCAAAGGTAGTTTGACGAGGCCTCAGAGCTCTTCTGAAACTGTGGCTTAGTATCACTGTGCTATTTAGAGAGTACGTCAGTCCCTGAATCCGTTTGATGAGACAATGTTCTCTGATGTTGGAGCTGGCAGTGATGCAATACATATCATTACAAAGGCTCAGTCAGGAGGGCAGTGCATAAAAATGGAAATGAATGACAGAATTAAGTAAATGCAGGCTACAGTATCAATAATCTAGACGGGAGGGCTGGAATTAAATTAAAAGCGAATGTCTATTAGTGCCAAAGTGGAGGAGGGGCCATCTGCAGTTTAATGGCGCTGTGTGCTCTTACTGAAGCAGACAGGATGTTTACTATGCAGGTAAATGTGTAGTGTTCATGTGCAGTGCGCTAAAACAAACCATTTTATATAACAAAGCTTTCTATTATATAAGCATGAAAACGACTCTATTTTTGTTTCCCCATTCATATTATTTCTGTGTGCAAGACCTTGTATTAACCCTCCTGAACTTTCCCATCCATATTTGTATAATTGCACAAATCATTTGTACATGTGCCCTTGGATGATTCAGAGCCAATGTCATGGTTTCAAGGCTGTCTGTGTTTCTCTGTCGCCTCCATAAAGGACTTCTCTAATTGTCTTCAGAGTGAGTCAGAGATAAGAAATATCATCATTGAGTTAATGTGCTCGCTCCGGATTTGTCAGGCAAGACCGTCTGTGGCCTTTTCAACTGTGGGATTCTTTGTTAGCTATTTGTGTGCAATGATCTTGACAGACAGCTCTCTCTGGGTGTTGATACCGAGTTCTGTGTAATTACCTCTTCAATCCCTCCCTCACCCCTCTCCCTGGGGATCAGTGTGCGGCGCCTACAGGGACAGGCGGGAAAGAAGAAGATGTCAATAATCCATCCTGTCCCACCCCGCTGACATGTCATATATATTTCCTAGGAGGGTGCACAGATAATGAATTCTTGCCTCGCACCATATCAGCTGGAGAGATACTGTGTGTCCTGAGGGGAGGTGAAGAATTACACAATTTATTAGAATTAGAAGCAGAGACCTCTAATTTTCGGTAAAATTTGCGTTTTTTGGTGGTGCAAACACAAAGTGGATTGAATTCATTATACAGTATAAGCAGGTGGAGTTGTTGCAAGCTATGATGATGGCACAATCACATCAGCCCTTCTAATTCCCCTTCAAAGCATCAGACGGTGTCTTAATGAGCCGGGAAGTGAGGGTCAAATTTCTCTAGAGAAAACCGTCTCTTCGCTGGGAAGCACAGAGCACAACATAGGGAAACTCATCGCCAGTCGATCTGCATAAAATTAGACAGTGTTTAAGAAGTGCTTGTGTCATTTTTTCATGCAAAAGTGCCAAACATTCAAAATGTCCCAGACTCCAGCTAAATAGTGATGGGCACCTTTCACTATTTTCTGAAAGAAGAGGTCAGGCTGATGGAGATGCCTCATGCTCTCTACCGTTTGTGTGTCTACAACTGTGAGTTGGCTGTAGTGCGTGTGAGTGTTCATTGTAGGTTTTGTTTTTGGCCTATGTGTGTTTGCGTGCATGCTCTGTGCAGTCCTGCATGTGTCATTTTGGCTGGAAGAGCTGCTCCCAGGACAGCGGTGCATTAATCACGGGTTTTATAGGGTATCCGGGTGTGACTCCCTCCTACCGACAACACATGTGGTCCTCCAGGAGAAGGACGGAGATTTGTCCTTAGTTTGGGCTTGGTGCAATTTTGTCTTGGGAAAGGAATTGCTTGTCTCAAGGTCAGAATGGGCGCCTTGTAGTTTTATTTGCTAATTAAAATCATTCCATCAAATTTGACATCACGAGTCGTATAAAAATGTGATATACTTCACACTACATGCCTGCACATGTATTTAATGGTGAGACGATCGTGGTCAAAACACAGCAAACACTGAGACTCAGTGATTGTGTAATAATGAGGTCAATGTGAATCAATTATGATGACAGAACATTGATCATCTGAGTGCTCCATCATTGCAATAGTGATAGAACGACTTTAAGACTTTCACAGTGTCTTATTAATGTTTAATTATGTTCTCATTGATTCCATAATAAAGGGAGCCGGGTAAATGTCATCATCATGCTCTTCATGCCAAAGGGCACATTTTGGTTTGTGGGTGGATGCTCTGTTGACCCGCGACTGACGTTACATCGAAAACCAAACGCTGTAATTAAAGAGGTCACTTGTTAATTGTTGTCATCAATTTATGCTGCAACACAATTTAACTCCTTTCAAGATCGTTTATAACTTTAGATAAAACCTGAATAGATGAGGTTGTTGCTTTTCGTTGGACTATCTCTGTGTAATTTGTCAAACTGTAATGCTTGGACTATTTATAGTTTGCCGAGTTGTTGTTTTGTTTAAACACAAAATAAAGATTCATGACCCACGATGAGAGGAAGAGGCTGTGATTAATTGACATGTCATCCATGCTTGAGCTGGCGGTATTTCTATCCTCGTGGCTCAGATGTATGACATAATACAGTATATCCTGTTGTCTGCCTCTCCTAGGTACAACCAGACAGCCTAGAGATGGGGAAATCGCAGGTGTAGACTACAACTTTGTCACCATTGAGGAGTTCTTCTCCTTGGAGGAGTTGGGAGCACTTCTGGAGAGTGGAAAGTCCAAAGGTGAGGTTGACTCAACCAGCACCTCTAAGGCTCAACAGACCTAATTAATGTTTCAATGCATAAAAAAGGGTAAAAATGTCAAGTTGTGGTTTCACAAGTGCCAGGCTATTTCCTGGATAGGAACAGTGACTTATTGGAGTCTCTGCTGGTTGTCTGTTAACCTTAGGTTGATGAAGACTCCAGGGGCCAATTGCTTATAAATAGACCTAGGCGTTGTCTTAAACATAGCTATAAGTCAGACTTGATATATACTTAAATGTACCTGTTGCATAAAGCTTCCTTATGAGGGACAAATGTAAGACCAATGCATTATGGGTGAAATAGGATATTTCACAGAAGAGAAAAAATGGCAGATGCAACAATAACAATTGTTATTGTTATTGTTATAACAATAACAATTGCGCTTCACCAAGTATGAGAGAAAATAACAGAAAAGGTGAACAGCATTAATCCAACAGTCGTTATAACCATTTAAGATGTTCAGAAACGATTCAAGAATGTGGTACAGTTGCAAGAATCCCCTGAAACTAAGTTTACGCAACTGGCCACCAGAAGATAAAACATGTTGAGCATTAGAGGTGATAGTAAACTATGTTACATTTGGACAGAGCCGGTCTAGCATTTATAAATGAGCTTTACACAGTTCATAAAGAGACAGTCAGTTGCCATCTCTTTATGCCGTAGTAATGCCGTCAGGAGTTGCTCAGCTCCCATCTACCCCGCAGACTCCTCCCCCCTGAGGGTCAGAGTGCTACCTCTGATCATAAAGCCTCCATACATTAGCATCCATAATTTCTAAGAGTTTAATGAGTGCAATAAATGTCATCCTCACTTGCCTTCCATGCGACATTGACGGACACATCCCTACAGCAAAGCAATCGGGAGTATAAGCAGCATTGTGCGCGCAGTAGCCTGCAGAAACCGCAGTAAATGGTGACGGCTGGTGACCTTGTTGTGGAGTTCAGTAATCTAATGTTTCCCCTCAACCCATTTGGATCTCCATGCACCAAATTGAGGGGGTGGAGTTAATTTCATTTCTTCTTTAGCAGCTGGAGCAGATGGCTAGAACTGAGAGTATAGAATATACACAGTAGATGTTATCAGGGGCCATACATTCAGGAGTGTAGTATGTGCTGTTTGTGTTCATAATGACATGAACCCAGCCTGCTACTGTTACCAATATCTGAATATAAAATATTTTATTTCATATCAGATTGGAACTCAGTAACATTGCACATTGACGGTGTGTTACAACACACGGCATTTTCACACAATTCCACAGTTTGCTGTGTTCATTGATTGCAATGCCATTTCTTAAGACGCCTTCCTCCCGTCCTTTTGTGTCTCAGGTAATTACTACGGCACACCTCGGCCCCTTCACATCAGTGCAGAGAGCCCCCCCATCACCTATCAGGAACATCGCAACCTGCTCAGAAACTTCCGCACACGCAGCAAATCACTCAGCAACCTAGAGAAGGCAGCAGAGGACGGCGAGAACAGTGAGGAAGACTCAGGTCTGTCAGGCAAGTATATCTAAACCTGGTGTATATGACCACGTGGGTGGGCAAGGTCATACATGTAAAGTGGAGTATTACATGGTCATTGGGACCCTTTTTTCAGACATAATCGATGTTAGAAAACGTATCTCTTAAGCCCTGTACAGTAGCCAGGAGCTAAATACTGCATTGTCCCTCTATCTATAGCTCCAGTCTCTGATACTCAAATGAATCAATCATTATCACGATTAGTATGCTCTAAAGTCTCAGTGGGGCTGTGGCCTCATCGATTGCTGTATCACCTCCAAAGGAAGGTCAGGCTGCCTTAGGTTGAGCAGGCAAGGAGGTAAGCAGATAGGCAAGTGTGCACATAAGGAGGTGGGGAAAGTTTGAGTTTGAATTAAATCTCACTTGCCACTGGAACAGCCAAAACATGGTCATTACAGATTTCTGTTTTTTACTTTTTCTATTTTAGATGTGATGGATGACTCATTGTACCAGACATAGTTTGTAATGTTAGAAGTCTTAAAAAGCTTATTTATAACCAGTGGTAGAAGACGTATTCAGATACCAATACAACAGAAGTACAGAAGTATTATCAACAAAATACTCACAGAATAATGTCGGCTGTGAATGACATGTAATTAGTTTAGTCCAGTGGTCCCTAACCTGGTAGTCCAAGGTCCCTCCATACAGGGGTCAGAGAGGGGGTCGTGGTGAGATGATTAATGAGGTTAGAAAGAAGAAAAAACATTTTTCTGCTACAAAATGTGTGTTCATTTTGTTGACTTTTCTCTAATCTTTGCCTTTTAGTGAAATATTTATTAATTTGACCTCTTTGGGCCTCAACAGTCATTAAAAAACAGCAACATCTGAGATGTTAAGAGAGGTAATGTCTCAATGATGGTAGAATACTGGTAAAAACTCATCAGAAATCATCAGAAATGTGACAAGGAGCCCCAACTACAATGTTTTTTTACTAGAGATCACAAGCCAAAAACAAGTACAATATTTTATGAAATGGCATTGCGTAAGATAGAAGTACTGATGCACAGTACAAGTACCTCAAAACTGCACTTTCTGCCAGTGTTAATCACATCAGCTATGCAGATAAAATCATGAGGGCAGTATTGGAGAGTTGGAGAAGTGATGGCAACAATAATCCAGAACACACAAGCTGAACAGAAGGCGGGTATGAGATTAGATGGTGAGGGTAAGGGAGCAAGGCCGCGACATAGGGTGGCGATGGAGGCAGGTAGGGAGGCTGAGTGTTAGAAAAGGGGCAGGCAGGGAGCCAGAATGGTACAGCAGATAAGGGAGAGGCGGGCAGAGTGGGAGGTGAGAAACGCAGGCAGGCAGAGATCCAGATCATTAGAGATGTGTTCTAAACCGGCAGGTAGGGAAGCAGGCAGCCTGGATTGGAGGAGTGAATTCAGGCAGGATGGAGTTTGAGAGAGCCATCCAACAGCCTGACCTCTGCTGAGTCATCTTCTGAAGTGATACTATGTGGGCGGATGGGTTCAGCATCACTTGTCGTGTACAGCGGGACTCAGGACACCCCGTGTTATGTCCTACATCTCTCAGATCTATGCTGGAGCTCACACCTGAAGGACAGCTACAAGGACAGCTGGGCAAAAAAAAAAAGAAGAAGCTCTGTTTTCCCCCCGCTGGTAGTATGGCGTGCATGGTCACACACTCCGCCTCCTTAGAGGGAGGACAAAGCTGGCCGGGATGCTGACCTCAGGTCTTTTTGCCTGACATCGAATTGGCGGCATGAAGTCGTAACAGACAGCAGGAGAAACTTTTTTACCTTCTGTATCTGTTAAATAGTATATCACTGTTCAATTTAGATTTGTAACACTCTATCTTGTCACTGTAATTACAGGAGGCTCTGCAGGTGTTAGCAGCAGCATTCCTACTAGCCATCGGTCCCCCGGGCGGCCTCGGGCGTCCAGCAGCGGGGATGGTCGTGTTCTAGAGAACGGGATCATCGGCAGCAGAAGCGGTGCCAGGGTGAGAGGTGTGATGCCTGATCACTGGGAGCAGGCCTTCAGTGACACAGGAGAGTCTCACTACATAGAGTGAGTATCTGCCTGTTCTCCTCAAATTTTCAGGAATAGTTCAACATTCCGTAAAATACGCTCATTAAGCTTATTCGCTTTCCTGCAGAGAGTTAGATCAGGAGATCAAAACCGCTTTCATATCTGTTCACTAAATATGAAGCCACGAGATGGTTGGCATATCTTACCCTCAAGACAGTTACGAAAAGTCAAAAAGACACAGCATATTATTGACAGATCATTAGAGGTTCTGATTGAAAGTGTCTATGCTAAGCTAAGCTAATGAATCTTCTTATCTAAAGCGAATATGCGTATCCAAAAACACGTACAACTATTCCTTTAAACATGCTCTGAAAACAGCAAAAGCTGCTATGCAACATTGTCACGACAGTGGCAGGCATCTCTGTTATTCATTTCCAATCCTGTCAAATTATACCCAGCGCTGTTATGTTTCTGAAGAGGGAATCTTTTGTTTTGTTTCTGTTTTTCTTTGTCTCTTCAAGTCGCAACCCCAAGAGGAGCAACTGGCGGAGTCCTCGAGGCTCAAGCCGGGAGACCGTCTACAAATATGAGTGTGAGCCTCTCTGTTTGTTTCTTTCTTTTCTGGATGTAATTATTGCAACACATTTAACTGTGGAACAGCCTCAATGACGCATTCATATATTTGTCAAGAATGAAACGGAAGTAACAGACAGAGCCAGCTTGTTCGAGTCAAATGAGATGGAATGAGCTTTTTAGCTGAACGGAGACGTGTAAGTGATTAAGGCCTAAAGCTTGGAGCTGCTGGCAAAGAGCCAGACTCGCTGCTGTGCCTGGCAGGGTCGACACGTGGATGGCATGTGACTGGCAACTTAATTTCATAATTTGGTCACATGATTTGCTGTTAAAAGAACAAGGACATAATCTAATTTTTGATGTCTGACTGACACGGCTGATTGCAAATTGTAAGGAAGCCATCTGTTACGGTGCTGTGATTCCAGCTTGTCCCAGTAAAGTGCAGTACACTTCCCTCACCAGCAGACAGTGTTATAATCTCCAATATGGCCAGGGTGTTTGTATTTATGCAACTTAAAATGATGCTCCACTTAACAAACATAGGGCTAAAATAAGAACGAAGAATTAAATCGAAAATAACTTTTTTAATGCAAGGTGAGAGTAAACCGTGAATAAAAGTTCCAGATTGCAGTGCCGAGTTGGGTCAATCTAATGGATTACGTGGATGATTTTAAGGAAGTAGTCTGTAATGGATTCTGCTTTTAATGCAATCTTTCCACCAAACACTTTGGTTCGTGTGCATGTCTACTTATTTATAGGTATTTTTTGCTAAAAGCCATCTGGCGATTGGTTTGCAACATTCAACTCTCTCTCTCTCTTTTCCCCTCACTCCTAAAACCCGTCGGTTCGAACAATTTAGTCATACGAACACACAGGACTTAAACTGTTACCACTCATCTCTTTCTCTGATTTTACTCAGCTGTTGTTGTTTTTTTTATCCTTGATACCTTGAAGACTTTTACAATGTTCCCTTGGAGGTAAGCATCCTCATTATCTCATGCTTTCTCTCTGTCTCTCTGTATTTTCGGTTACTACCAGGGTTCACGGACCAGCCTGGGGAGCTCAGGGGTTTCCCTGTGCACACGCACTTGATCAAGGGCTCCAGGGGGTTTGGTTTCAATATTGTCGGGGGCAGCAGGCCAAGAGAGTTCCTCCAGGTCTACAGTGTGACTGAAAGTGGACCCTCAGCACTCAAAACAGGTATAAATACAATCAACCAGGGACAATTACTGCATGAGAAGGCTATCTGAAATGTAAGACAGGTGTGTGAGATGATAAGAGACACATTCTCAGACATATCTGCAGACTGAGAGCTGTAAATATGGTTTCTGGAATCTTGCAAAAAGTGTAAATAACATATTTTGATCAGCGGTGTGTTTCAACATCTCTCTATTTCTGTGTCTCCAATCGTTGAGATTCTGATCTCCCACAGCAACTGCATATCACAATCAGTCCTTAATCCTCAGGGCTAGCGAACCATAGTCAAGCTATCATAACACACGCATATGCAACGGTACACATCCACTTCACACACACACACTAACACAAAAACCCCATGCAGGCAGATATTACCACTCTAGGAAGCCACGGCACAAGCTGTCTCAGCAGGGGCTGATCTAGTTCATATCGGTTAATAGGTTTAGAGGGATTAGTTGTTTGGATTAGTCCACACCCACACAAAACACACAGACAGTGTTTCATTTGCAAACTACATTTATCTGCACACTCAAGCATATGAAAATGGTCACAAAGGTTCACGCGGTAGTATTTAAAAACAGATTGACTAAAGGTGTGTAATTTTGCTGCAGATGATTAAAAATGCAAAGTAAAAGTTAAAAATAAAAGTCTCGATACCTCTAACCATGTGTTTTCTTTTTTTTGCTTTATTAGCGGACATCCTGGTGTACATCAATGACGTTTGTGTGTTGGGAGTGTCTCACAAAGAGGTGGTAGAGATGCTGAAGTCGGTCCCTGTGGGCCACAGTGTGGACGTAGAGGTTAGAAGAGGGTATCCCATGCTCTACACCCCTGATGGTTGTCCCAAGCAGCCGCCGCCAACGCTACTGGACAGCGGGGACCCAATACGACCACCCACCACCACCCAGCCGCAGCCTCTTCACCAACTACCTCGCCTCCCGACACCCACTCCCCCCACCTATCACTTTAACTATAACGGGGTCCACGGTGACAGGAGCTACATGGAACCAGGGGTGACTCTAGACGCCAATGGAAATGCCATGTCTTTTGCTACCAAACAGTCGCCCTTATACAGACGCTCCAGTATGAGCAACTCTGCCTCTCCCCTGCCTGTGCGTCCTCCCCGTTCACTGAGAAGTTTGGCCAGGCTGCAGTCTTTTGACCCAACGCTCGCCAGCCAGAGTGACAGTGAAGTTGTTTCTGCTGTTGGTTCACACAGGTAACACCTACATGTCCAGCACAAAGGAGATTCCGTTTGTAATGCCTTTTTAAAGTGATTCAAAAATCTTGTACAGGGTCTGAAATTACGTTTTCCTCACCTGAACACGCTTTAGAATTGTAAACACAGGTCAGTTATACTAGACAAGAGAAATATGGAAAAATACATGTAACTTTAATTTAGAAATTGCTTTTTAACAATTATTTGGCAGGTGGCATCTGCTGATGATCCCTGGTGATCTTTTATATACGTGATTGGTGTTATATTGTACAGGCTGCTGTGCAGTAGATTTGAGGAAAATCTGGTAATTGATTAATCATTCCAATTCCAAGATGTTAGATGGTAGATGTGGTAATTTTTTGTCATATATGATAGTCAATGAAATGTTTTTTTTGACATTTTATAGACTAAACGATTAATCGACACAGTAATTGGCCGATTAATTGATAGTGAAAATAATTATTAGTTGCAGCTCTAACATTTTGTCTCCTCACATTCTTTTTCATCAGGGCATCAATGGGCCGTAATCACAACAACAACTCCCTCTCAGCGCCCCCTCATCCTTATCGTTTCGGCACGTTGAAGTCGTCTGAGAGTGACCTGTCCACCTGCACCCTGTCGGGGTCCCGGCTTCCCCTGCCTCAGTCACCGAGGAGGCCCTCCTCCTCCCCCGGGGGCCCCCACAGCGCTCACTCCCGCCTCTTCAGACCGCATACCTCCCACCTCAGACCCCCTCCCACCCCCGACAGCCCCCGCCATTACCACGGCTTCAACAGTTTCCATGCCAACACCAGCCCCACTGCGAGTCCCAGCAGTGTGTCCTCCCCTGGGGCGATGAGTGTGTGCAATGGAGTTGGCAGTTTCAGCGGAGGGGAGCTGGTGCCAGTGGCCTTGGCCCAGACCGAAGGAGACCAAGGACTCGGCTTCAGTGTGACAGCTGGCAGTGCAGGAGGCAGGATGACGATAGTGGAAAGAGTCTGGGACAGGAAGCAGTGCAACTCCCTGCAGCCAGGGGATGCTATTGTCAAAATCAACGGAGCAGATGTTCAGAGTCTTAGTTTTGCACAGGTAATGGTCTGGAGGACCAAATGGGAGGGAAATCATGAGAAGTCATGTGAACTTGTTATAGTTGTAATCAGTATAATTGTGTGATATTTTTTCTTCTCAAATGGTTCATTTGAATAGTCTTTCGTGGCCTGAAGAGATCAAACTACACAGTATGTCACAAGAAAAATGTAGAGGAAAAATAATCATAATTTATTGAGAAATTATTTTCTTATTTGCTTCATAAGAATTTATTCAGTTTAAGAGATGAGCACTGCCTCAAAAGGTGTCAAATATATCCAAAGAATCTGCAATGAATCACAACTTACTTATATGTTTGTTGACAGGTACAAACCGTTCTCCAGGAACACACCAAACAGGCAGAAGTCATCTTGTTGATTTACAGAGGAGGTAAATGATTCGCATTCATTGTAGAATCATTTTTGTAACAAACAAGTATCTCACAGTTATTTTCTCTCTCATTATTAGGCATCTATCATCCAACCATCTCCCCCGGCTCTAATCGGAGACTCCCCCCGCCTCTCCTCCACCCCCCTCCTCCACCTGTTGGTTCGGACATCTCCTTTGTGCTGCCAGAAGTGCTGCATGTGCCCCGTACCTCCATCAGCAACCCTCCCTCCCCAGCCCCGATGCGCTCCCCGCTAGTCCAGAGCACCAGTTTCCTGGAGTCGATTCCAGTGACCCTGACAATGGAACCCAAAGACTGGATGAACACCGGCCTGGAGGACGAGGCGGGCGGTGTCACAGGGCCTGACTCAGGTCTGGAGAGGCAGGGCGGTGAACAAACTCGGCCGCTCCGAGGGTTTGACGTGGAGCTGAGGAGGAAGCCAGGAGAGGGCTTTGGGTTCGTCATCGCCTCTCAGGACGTGGACAATGTAAAAGGTGAGAGCCAGTGACAAATCATATCGTGCAAGATGTGACTCAAGTTCAGTGCTTAGAATATAGCACTTGTTGAAAACAAAATTTTGATTTAAAGTAGAAGTGGACAGGCCTTACGCAGCATTAAAACCATTTGGTTACCTGCCCAGGGATACTTGTTTCATTTGGATGCCCTTGTGGACAGATGCACCATTAGGTGATTACAGATTAGAAAGTCGTCACCAATGGCCAGTTGGCCTCATACCACCTGATGAGTCATGATGCATCATCAACCCTTTTCTTATAACGTGCTTTCTCCCCAGGTTGATTTGTTGAAGGAAATCTGTTTTGGCATCTGCTGATGTCAGGGACCGGTTCATCACGGAGTTCACTTTTAGCAACATAATTACTCATTTGTTTGTTTTCTGTCTACCATCCATCCATCCATCCGTTATCTTCCGCTTCTCCGGGGCTGGGTCGTATATGGGCAGCAGGCTTAGCAAGGTATTCCAGGATTCCCTCTACCCAGAAACGTTTTCCAGCTCTTCCTCGGGAGGGTTTGAACATAGATGGATTGGTAAATCAAGAGCTTGGCCTTCCGGCTCAGTTCCCTCTTCACCACAACGGCACGGTACAACTCCTGCATCACTGGTGACACCGCAAAAATGATAAATTATCTACCCACACTCATGAACAAGACCCCGAGAAACTCCCTCGCTTGGGTCAGTGTCTCACTCCCAACTTTGAGGGCGCAATCCACTGTTTTCTGGCAGAGAACCATGGCCTCAGACTAAGAAGTATTCACACTCGGCTGCAAACCGCCCCAGTGCATGTTTAATGTCACAGTCTGCCAACACAACCATATCATCTGCCTACCATGAACAGCTAAATGCAAATGCATGAGATCTTTGGTGGTTGTAGAGTTTAAACTTGGTGTTTGGTGACAACAAGAATTCAGGAAGTCACTGCTCCCATCATAGAAACAGTCCAGCACATGACCCACCCTATAAAACTAAAATATGTCATCTTAACTTTTTTAAACAAACAAGATACAATGTGTCAATTAGTGAGGTTTAGAGGTGCAGGTTTGGGATTTTGTTGCCATTGGACAGAGCCAGGCTAGCCTGTTCTTTGTGCTAACCTAAGATAACCGGCTGCTGGCCCTAATTTCATCTAACTCATCTAACTCTCAGTAAGAAAGCGAATAAGCGTGTCCCCCAAATGTCAAAATATTCCTAAAATAAGCTCTCAGGTTAAATTACAGGTTTTATTTATAATCATGCTCTTTTTTTTAATCTTTCTCCAGCAGGATTACCTTTTGTGAAAGTATCACATCATTGTATCTCACTCTGTGTTTCTCTGACCTGACAGAACATTGAGGCTTGTTTGTGATCTGTCTGGGAACCGAACACATCCTGCCCTGATTAGCTGTTAGTGTAGTGCTTATGAACAGTCCGGTTAACCGCAGCATCCCCATGATGTATCCCCCCCCCCCTTTCTCCTTTGTATGTGTTGCATTGGCTGCCCTCTGTTCTGGTTTGATGCAGTTCAATTTGCTCTATGGGCCGAGTGAACACACAGTTGTTGTTTTCATGGTGAGATAAAGGTTGTAGGTGCACTTGTCTCTGCAGTTCAGAGACCCTTCCTCCCTCCACTCTGTCCTCATTCTCCCCTTCATTTTCACTCATGCCACAGAAAGAAGTCCCTGTCTCTCCATATCTACCTTTTTCCTCTTCCTATCTCTCTCTTCCTCTTCCTCTCATCAGCTCTTATCTCCCTCCCAGGC